CTTTTTGCTTATGTGGTGCTGAGGAATCGAACCCAGGGCCTCAGGCATGCAAGGCAAGCACTCTACCACTGAGCCACCTTCCCAGCCCCTTAGTTATTTGATTTTATTTAAAAAAATTTTTTTGAGGCAAGTTCTTACTGCCGCCCAGCCTGGCTTTGAACTTGAGATCATACTCCCTCTGCCTTCTGAGTGCTGGAAATACAGATGTGAACCTCTGCACCTGGTTCATTCTATCAAATGATAAATACTTACATTTAATTTGTTTTTGTCGTCTTTAGTATTTGGTGTCTTTGATCCAGGACAACCTAGGATGGATGTGGGTTTTCTACTTTTTCATTCTCATGGTAAGTATATACCTCTTTTTTTTTTTGTCAGTGTGGGGCTTGAACTCTGGGTCTGGGCGCTGTCCCTCAGCTCTTCAGCTCAAGGCTAGCACTCTACCACTTGAGCCACAGCACCACTTTTGGGTTTCTAGTGGCTTGTTCAAGATTAGAGTCTTAAGGACTTTTCCTGCCCAGGCTGGCTTTTGAACCATAATCCCAGGTCTCAGCCTCCTGAGTAGCTAGGATTACAGGCGTGAGCCACCAGTACCTGTCTGTACTTCTTTTAACTAACCATTTTTATGAAAATTAATTTAGTTCAGGACATTTACTAATTACTTATTGAAACCAACAAAATTAAAGATCCTATTTGTGAAAATAGTTTTTTTTTGGGGTGGGGCCAGTCCTGGGACTTGAACTCAGGGCATGGGTGCTGTTCCTCACCTATTTGTGCTCAAGGTTAGCACTCTACCACTTGAGCTACAGGATCACTTTTGGTTTTTTCTGAATAGTTTATTGGAAATAAGAGTCTCATGGATTTTTCTGCCCAGGATGGCTTCGAACTTTGATCCTCAGATCTCAGCTTCCCGAGTAGCTAGGGTACAGGCATGAGCCACTGTTGCCTAGCTGAAAATAGCTTTTTTTTTTTGGTGCTAGTCCTGGGATTTGAACTCAGGGCCTGAATACTGTCCCTAAGATTTTTCTCAAGGCTAATGCTTTACCACTTGAGCTACAGCTCCGTTTTGGCTCTTTGGTGTTTAATTAGAGATGAGAGTCTTGCAGAATTTCCTGCCTGGGCTGGCTTCAAACTATGATCCTCAGATCTCAGCCTCCTGAATAACTACGGTTACAAGCGTGGACCACAAGTGCCCAGCTGAAAAGTAACATTTTCTTAGTCTAAAAGACACACTTTTGGGATTGGAGGCGTGGCTCAGTTGGTAAAGCACCAGCCCGTGAGTGGAAGTATCAGGTACCAAGTTAGCTAGCTGGCTAAGTTCTTGATCTGAGTCTAATGAGCATTGCCATTTTTAGTTCTAACAAATCAAGACTTACTTAAATCTTGCCAACCATTAATCAGCGTGTTCTTCTAGGCTGCCGTCTGTCTGCTAACTGTAATTTGGGAATTCTGAAGGAAATTAGCATGGGTGCCAAGCAAAGCTGGGTTAGGGCAGCCAACGCCGACGAGATAGTTCTGTCTTGGGCATTCTTAGCTGGGATTTTGTGCTCTGGGAAACATCCAGTACAGAAAATGGCCGTGTGCTTTTAATGGCGGCTTCCTGTTGAACTGCCACATGGCCTTCTCTTACATGATTGGCGGGGCAGTGACTGGTCAGCTGAAAGTCTGGTGCGGCTTGTATCCTCTAGAGGGCGTGTTCAGTGTCTAGGCTGGCCTAACTGGAGGCAGCTGTCTTCTAGCCCCTCCATGGAGCCCGAGGTAGTGCAACTGTAGCAAGTCCCCAAAGCACTCAAGTGTTGGCCTTCCAGCTTCTAAAGATGGAATCATAGAACCTTTTCTCTTCCTGAATCCCTGCTAAGCAGAGGGAGCCCCTTCAGATAAACCTCCTGCTGTGATCCTATTGATAAATTTTTTTTTGGGGGGGGGGATCCGGTTGTGGGTCTGAACTCTGGGCCTGGGCGCTGTCCCTCAGCTCTTTAGCTCAAAGCTAGCGCTCTACCACTTGAGCCACAGCGCCACTTCTGGCTTTTTGCTTATGTGGTGCTGAGGAATCGAACCCACGGCCTCAAGCATGCAAGGCAAGCACTCTACCACTGAGCCACCTTCCCAGCCCCCTATTGGCAAATGTTGCAGAAAAAACCCTTGATTTAGTTGGGACGGGTGGCTTATACCTATAATCCTCATTATTCAGGAGACTGAGGTCTGAGCTTAGACAATTGTGTACCTTTTTTTTTTTGCTGGTTCTAGGGTTTGAACATAGGGCATGGCACTTGCTCAGCTTGCTTCCTTGCTTCTTGAGCCACATCTCTAGCCCTGCTTTTTGCTTGTTATTTGGGAGGAGGAGTGTCATAGACTTTTCTGTCTAGTCCAGCTTTGAACTTTGATACTTGATATCTCAAGTTATCTTTATATGAAGTCACAATTAATGTCTTAAGTCTAAGATGTTCAAAACATGGTGTTCATTGCTCAGGAGGTTGAGATCAGAAGGATCTTACTTTGAAGCTAGCCTGGAAAATCCTCAAAACTCCATCTCATGGGGCTGGGAAGATGGCTTAGTGGTAGAGTGCTTGCCTTGCATACATGAGGCCCTGGGTTCGATTCCTCAGCACCACATAAGCAGAAAAAGCCGGAAGTGGCACTGTGGCTCAAGTGGTAGAGCGCTCGCCTTGAGCTGAAGAGCTGAGGGACAACGCCCAGGCCCAGAGTTCAAGCCCCACAACTGACAAAAAAAAAAACAAAAATAAAATACTCCATCTCTAAAATAACCAGGAAAAAACTGGGCTAGAGGCATGGCTGAAACGGTTGAGTACCCTAAGATAGCAAGCCAACAGAGCAAGTACAAGGCCCAGAGTTCAAACCCTGGCTTTGGCAAATAAAAACATGTTCTAACAGAGGGAAATGGTTGTGGGGAGCTATTGGCTCAAGCCTGTAATCCTAACTACTTAGAATGTTGAAATCTAGGGATCAGGGTTCAAAGCTAGCAAGTCCAGAAAGGTCTGAAACATTTATCTCCAGTTAATCACCACAAAGCCGGAAGTAGAACTGTGGCTCAAGTAGTAGAGCATTAACCTTGGGCAAAATGAGCGCCCAGGCCCTGAGTTGAAGCCCCCCAAAACTGGTTGACACCCTTGCCCTCCCCCCACAAGAAGAAATACACGGTTGCTGCATGTTTAATTCTTTTTTCTCTTCACAGACAAGTTGTACAATTCTGTTTATCTCGCCATTAATAGCTAGAGAGATGTCCTCTCTGGTGCAGAGGGGACGAGCTCACATGCTGAGCGAGTGACTGGTGCCCGCCCAGAGGAAGCGGCGAGGACCACGGTGACGCGTGCGTGCCTTCACAAGGACTGCTCATTAGGTCTTTAGCTCCCTGTCTGAGGATTCAGGGCACCCGCAGGAGCCGGCTTTCTGCAGCCTCGCCAGCTGCCCGAGACGCCTCCGGTAGAGGAGGCCGTGCTATTTTTCTACACTACAGGAATGATTGGTGATTTCTTTTTACTGTTGTTCTGTGAATGTACTGAATGGCGTATGGACCCGCAGGCAGCCTTTGATCGCCTGGTGAGGTTTATCCCTCTTGCCTTAGATACTGTGTCGGCCTGGGACCATGTTCTCCAGCCTTACGCGTTGCGTGGACGGCAGGCAGAGCCAGGAGGAGGGAAAGGATCCATTGCGTTTTGCTTTGGTGACCATGCCGAGAGTGGGGTCGCTTTGGAATAGCGAAGAACACCTGCTGGAGGGGCTACAAGCTGGTCACTAGATGGGCGTCTGAGATCGCGCAAGTGCTGGGTGTCTCTGGTCTTCTGGCCCATCTCAGTCCTTTACTCCAGAAGCTCTTGGCTGCTTGTTCCCTTCCCACTTCACACAGGACTCTGAGGGGTGGAGCCATAGTCTCCCTTTCAAGGACAGATATCATGGACATTCCAGTGTGGGACTCCTTCTCAAGCCACAGGCTGGGAGTGGTAGCGACCTCTGAGATCCTCCGCTTAGTTGGCTCTTAGAGGATTGCTCTCGGTCACAGCCGGGTTCTAGGACGTAGCTCAGCAGACTAGAATTAGTGTGCCCTCAAGTCATGTGAATGGATTGATGATTGCCCGGCCTTGGGCCCTGTCCTCTTAGGAGATGGTAGTGTAAATGTCTGCTAGGCTGTCCTTTCTATATTAATCAAGGTTGTAAGGTCATTCTGTATATTTTAAATTATATAAGCAAATGAGGAAGTTGTGCAATTGTGAGAGATTCCTAATTTGCATTGGGTAGGGAATATTTTTTTCAACCTCTGGCTTTATATTTCACAATGTGGTGCATTGATGAACTTGTTAATGTTATTGAATCATGCAGATTAAATATAATCATGCTGTTGTTCATTTACTAACATAAAGGGAAAGTAAGAAACACAGGAAGGGAAAATAAACTGACTTTTATAGTAAATATTTGTCTCATTATTGCCACTTCTGCCATGCGCTGTGTGTTCCGTCTTCATTTACCTTTCTGTGGTGCTGGGGTGGAACCCAGGGCCCTTGCATGTGCCGTGCATGCATTCTGCGCTAGGCTGCACCCCAAACCCAGCTCCGGGTTGAAGTCTGGCAGTTTTAGGTGTCTGGGTGCTGCAGTCTGGGCGCTTCCTTTGCAGCCTTGCTCAAGTGCACATGCCCACTGGGGGTGCCGGGGCCCCCTCCGCAGCATCTGTGAAGACTTGCCCCCTACCCAGAGTAGAGTCTGCAGACTCTGTTGGATTGTCTCGTTGAAGTTAAGAACAGTCTGGGACAAACCCCGTTCCGCTGTCAGCAGAGCAGTGTCACCCCGACACCACCAATATTGTTCTACCCCGTTTCTCCTCAGGTGGGTGAGTGGCGCAGCGACTGGGGACGGCTGACGGGAGACGCACCCCCAGCCCTGCATGGAGGATGCGTTGTGCTTTGGAAACATTCTCTTTGCCGTCTCGCTCTCCTTCATTTTCCTTTCCCTTGGAGGCAAGGCCACAGCAAAAACTCACTGAAAATTCATCCTCTGTCAGCGAAAGTAATTTGAAGGCTGGGCACTGGTGGCTCACGTCTGTAATCCAGACTTCTCAGAAGGAGGCTGAGATCTGAGAATCAAAGTTGAAAGCCCCAGTCAGACAGATTTGAGAGACTCAGCTCCAATAGAGCCCACCCTGAGCGAAAGAAGCCAAGCGACGGAGGCCCTGGTTCAAGTCCCATTTCTGGCACACACATTACCGAGACAGGATCTTGTTGTGTAGCCTGGATGGTCCTCACGTGTCATCCTCCTGTTTCTCCCTCCCAAGGGCTGGGACTGCAGGCATGCATCACCCCGCTCATGGTGAGGCTGTGTGTGCACACGCCGTGCAGACCCTGCGCCTGCTGGGCTCATGGCTTCCTCAGACATGGCAGGCCAGTTGCTCCCTGCGGTGGCTTTCTACAGGTGGCCTTTTAAAGAAGCGTCTCTTGGGGAGGGAGGAGCGAGTGTAATGGAGGGATGGGGTGGTAACTAAGATTGGAGTACGTTTTGCAGGTATGAAAATGTCATGATGAAACCTATTTTATACAATTAATAATGAAGTGTTAAACACCCTTCTCCTGCTGGGCGCCGGTGGCTCACGCCTGTTATCCTAGCTACCCAGGCTGAGATCTGAGGATGGTGGTTCAAAGCTTGCCCAGGCAGGAAGTACTTGAGACTCTTTTTTTTTTTTTTGGGGTCCGGTTGTGGGGCCTGAACTCTGGACCTGGGCGCTGTCCCTCAGCTCTTCAGCTCAAGGCTAGTGCTCTACCACTTGAGCCACAGTGCCACTTCCGGCTTTTTTCTTTTTGCTTATGTGGTGCTGAGAAATCGAACCCAGGGCCTTGAGCATGCAAGGCAACCGCTCTACCGCTGAGCCACCTTCCCAGCCCAGTACTTGAGACTCTTATTTCTGATAAACCATTAGAAAACTGGAAGTGGCGCTGTGGCTTCAGAGGTAGAGCACAGGGACAGCGCCCAAGCCCAGAGTTCAAGCCCCACAACCAACCCCTCCTTACCCCCCCCCCCGCAAATCCCTCCTCTTGGGCTGGGAAGGTGCCTCAGTGGTAGAGCGCTTGCCTTGCATGCTTGAGGCCCTGGGTTCGATTCCTCAGCACCACATAAGCAGGAAGAAAAAAGCCAGAAGTGGCGCTATGGCTCAAGTGGTAGAGCGCTAGCCTTGAGCTGAAGAGCTGAGGGACAACACCCAGGTCCAGAGTTCAGGTCCCACGACTGGACCCTCCCCCCAAAAAAATCCCTCTTTACTCTCTTTTCCTAATCCTGTTTGAGTGTGAAAGTTCTACCACCCAGTAAACCCATGCATTGAAATGCATTTCTACTCTTCTGCGATCCTGGATGATCAATACAATGTGTGATCATTTCTGTGTATAGTTCACCCAAGTCTGGCTTTCTGCCAGGCCCCTGCCCCTTAGTGAATACTTCATTAGCTTGGAACCAGAAATCCCATTGGGGGGCCCTGTATGGCTTACAGTGTGTATGTGTGTGTGTGTGTGTGCGCGCGCGCGCACGTGCGCGCGCCAGTTTCTAGGGCTTCAACTCAGGGTTTGGACACTGTCTGACACACTTTTATCACTTGAACCACATCTCCACTTCTAGCTTTTTGCTGGTTAATTGGAGATACAACTCACACACTTTTCTGTCCAGGCTGCCTTTGAACTGTGATCTGCAGATCTCAGCCTCCTGAGTGGCTAGCATTAACAGGCTGGAACCACCCAGCTTGCATTGCCCTTGATGAAAGAAATAATGAAATAACACTTTTCTTTTTCAGAAATGAGAGGAAAAGTAGCAAAGCTATCTGAAGCCCTTTCCAAGACTTTTTCCCCCCTGTGGCATATGGAAGTTGTCATCTCTGAATGTCAACAGGACACAAAATCAGATAAAAGGGCCACCCAGTTTGACAGATTTCGTAGGATAATTGTATTTAGGTGAAACCTTTCCTCCAGGACTTCAAAGGCCTTCACCTTGTTTAATAGTTAGCATCACTGAGCCCTGAAGCAGGACTTCAGGTAGCTGTAATCCTAGAATTTTTTGTGTGAGTGTGGGTTTGTTTATTTAGCATTTTGTTTGTTTTCCTAGGCCCACTGTGGAAGAGTTCTGGAAGCTTGAGAGCAGTTGGTTTCCATTAGAATAAAGCACGTCGGCCGCAGCTGCTCCGCTAGTCCAGCATCTCCCTCAAGGAAGATGTTTATCAGCCACCTTACCTTACTAAGAGCCACTTGTAGTCTCTGACTACCCTAGCTGTGCCTCAGGGTGAACAGGGTTTACCTTCCTGGGTTCTGTGAAGAGCTAATTTCGCAGCTATCAGTCCTTGGGTGTATCAGTTAACAGAACTTTTGAGAAGTAAACAGGTCCCTAATTAAGTTAAAACATGCCCGAAGCCAAGTCTCTAGGGTCAATTAGAGGCTGTGGAAAAAGCCTGTGGATAAAGGGATCAGTGGGAGACTGGACTGGCCCCTGGAAACGACCTTTGCGATCCTCTGCCGTCTGGCTTCCCTCCCGGAATGCTTCAGGATCATGGCAGTGGATTTCTGTAGCAGCTCTGAGCGTGGCCTTTCCATTTTCCCCGCTCCAAACAATCATTGCTCTATTTTAGGCCCTTTCCTGTGGCGGGCCAGACCTCTGGACTCCACACGGGAAGACAGAGTCCCAGCGACCCTTCGCTCCACCCTGCATTTGGAGACCTGGACGCGGCTGCAGGTCCTTTATGTCATTATTGCTTTAGATTTCTGTATTTCCGACTTTCCTGGCAATTTCTGCCTCTCCCTCTTAAGTTCCTCCTCCAAGTTCTCAGTTCCCTCCCAGCCTCCTCCTGCTCACCCTAAGTCACCTCCCAACTGTTCACAATGAGACAGATTCTTGGGAGCATCTACCTGGATGATTTTGCTTGATTTTGCTTCTGGCCTTAGCTGTGGCCTTGTCCTTGGCCTCTGAAGTCCCCAAGGAGTGGATGTCCAGCTTCACTCTAGCTCTGCTCTCTGTCCTGTCATTGGCAGCACTCACACGAGATAGTTCTTAAAGCTGAGGCTGGGTGCCAGTGGCTCACACCTGTAATGCTGGCTACTCTGGAGGCTGAGATCTGAGGATTGTGGTTCAAAGTTATCCCGAGCAGGAAAGTCCATGAGACTTTTTATTGCCAATAAACTACTGAAAAAAAAAAAGCCAGAAACAGAAACAGAATTGTGGTTGGAGTGATAGAGCTCTAACCTTAAGCAAAAAAGCTCAGAGACGTGTCCAGTCCAGGCCTTGAGTTCAAGCCCCAGGACTAACACACACACACACACACACACACACACACACACACAAACTTTAAAGCCACGTTCCAGAGTCTCACACCTGTAATCCTAGCTACTCAGGAGGCTGAGATCGGAGGACCACGGTACAAAGCCAGCCTGGGCAGGAAAAGTCTGTGAGTCTCTTATCTCCAATTAACCAGGAAACCAGAAGTGGTGCTGCGGCTGAAGTGGTAGAGCACTTGCCTTGAGCTGAAGAGCTGAGGGACAGCGCCCAGGCCCAGAGTTCAAGCCCCACAACCACCACCAATGACAAAAAACTCAAGTGGCCAAGTACTGGTAGCTCATGACTATAATCCTACTTACTCAGGAGGCTGAGATCTGAGGATCCAAGTACAAAGCCAACATGGGCAGACAACTTTGAGCTTCGTTTTTTTTTTTCTTTCTTTCTTTCTTTCTTCCTTCCTTTCCTCTCTCTCTCTCTCTCTCTCTCTCTCTTTTTGCTTGCTTTCTT